TAATTTTCTCTCTCTCTTCTTCTCTTGTTCCTCCTTTTTTTTCGTTTTTATTTTCGTCGTTTCTACTTTCTAAATGTGTCCTCTTTTTCTCTCCTTTTCCTTTTCTCGTCCCTCTTTCGTTTCCTTTCCTTCTATTTCTTTTTTTCCGTTCCCCTTAACCCTTTCTTTCCCCCCATTTCCTTATCCTTCTATTTCTCCCCCTATCCTTATCCTTCCATTTCTTCCCCTTTCTCCTTCTCCTCTCTCCTCTCCTCCTTCTCCTTCTTCCCTCTCCCCCTTCTTCCTCCTTCTAGCCACTTCCCCCCTTCTCCCCCTTCCTCCCTACTTCTCTCTTTCTTTTCCCTTTCCCCTAACCCCTACTTCTCTACTTTCCCCTTTCCTTTCTATCCCCCTCCTCTCCCCCCCCCCACCCAACCCCCACCGCCCGTTTCCTACCCTTTTCCACTCGATATTTAAGGAAAATTATATATAATATATATATATATATATATATATATATATATATATATATATTATATATATTATAATATATATATAATATAATATATTTTATTAATTATTTTTTTCCCCGTGACGTTAAATGAAATAAAGTCATTGAGATTTCTGCCGAACTACGATTATCTATTCCATATACCTGTGAAATTATCTTCTCGTCCACTCATTGATCTAGTTGCAGAATTTTCCCCGTAGAAAATATGCGAAAAAAGATCCATATTTGATTTAATTTTCCTATGTCTCTTTTTTCCGGGAATTCTCTTGTGTGTGGTATTGATTCGTGACTAATTATAGGCCTACTTGAACCACTGCTTTTTCTAACACGCGTAACACTCATATACATATACATACAATACATATATATACATATATATATATATATATATATATATATATATATATATATATATATATATATATATATATATATATATATATATATATATATATATATATATATATATATATATATATATATATATATATATATATATATATATTATATATATATATATATATATAACATACATACATACATATACATATACATACATACATACATACATGCACACACACACACACACAACACACACACACACACACACACACACACACACACACACACACACACACACACACACACACACACACACACACACACACACACACACACTCACACATACACACACATACACACTCACACACACACTCAACACACACTCACACATACACACTCACACATACACACTCACACATACACACTCACACACACACACACACACACACACACACACACACACACACACACTCACACTCACATCACACTCAGTCATCATGACCATCACCCGCGCCCTTTCCCGCCAGCCACAAGCAAAGGAATTTCCTCGTTCGCAGTGGTGCAAGCGACTGGATTCACGTGGATTCAATATCACGTTAATCCGGAGTTGTTTCAGTCGTTCGTAGTAATGCAAGCGACTGGATTCACGTGGATTCAATATCACGTTAATCCGGAGTTGTTTCAGTCGTTCGTAGTAATTCATGGATTCATCAAAGTCGACTTGGTTGTCAGTGGATTCGGTCAATATCACGTCAATCCGGAGTTGTTTCAGTCGTTCGTAGTAATTCAAGCGACTGGATTCATGTGGATTCAAAGTCACGTTAATCCGTTGTTTCAGTCGTTCGTAGTAATGCGACTGGATTCGTGGATTCGTGAGGAGTTGTTTTCAGTCGTTCGTAGTATGCAAGCGACTGGATTCATGTGGATTCAATATCACGTTAATCCGGAGTTGTTTCAGTCGTTCGTAGTAATGCAAGCGACTGGATTCACGTGGATTCAATATCACGTTAATCCGGAGTTGTTTCAGTCGTTCGTAGTAATGCAAGCGACTGGATTCAAAGTCACGTTAATAGTCGTTCGTAGTAATGCAAGCGACTGGATTCACGTGGATTCATGTGGAGTTCAGAGTCTGGATTCATGTGGATTCAAAGTCACGCCAGTCAGCTGCCCTTTCTGTCGTTCGTATTAGTAGCGCAAGCAACCGGATGCACGTGGATTCATAATCACGTGGATCCGCCTCTTTTTCTGTCGTTCTTAGCAGGTGACCGGACGTACATAGATTCAAAGTCAAGCCAATTGACGTTTTTTTAATCGGTCTTAGTAAAAGCAAGCGACCGGATTTACATTGATTCAAAGTCACGTTAATACGCCTCTATTTCTGTCGTTCGTTGTGGTAATTCAAGCGACTGGATTCATGTGGATTCAAAGTCACACCAGCCCGCTGCCTTTTCTGTCGTTCGTATTAGTAACCAAAGCAACCGGTTTCACGTGGATTCAAAATCACGCGAATCCGGTTCTTTTTCTGTCGTTCTTAGTAGGCGACCGGATGTACGTGGATTCAAAGTCAAGCCAATTGACGTTTTTTTTTTTTTTTTTTCTTAGTAAAAGTCACGTTAATCCGCCTCTGTTTCTGCCGTTCGCCTTGTCATCGATTTCGGTGTCGTCGCTTTGGTATCCGCGAGGGATGGGGGGGGGGGGGGGGAGGGGGGGGGAAGGGGAAGGGGATAAGGGGCAGGGAGGGGGAGAGGAAGGGGATAAGGGGGGAGGGCGAAAGGGAAGGAGAAAGTACGTTGTAAAGGAGAGGGGTATGTTAGGATATTCTTTGGCGTGGGTGAAAAATTCTGTTGATCTTTTTTTACTTTTTTTTTCTTTGTTTCAACATTTATTTCGTTTATCTTCTTCCCTTAACTTCTAGATTTCTTTTTTTTTTCTTTTTTCTTCTCTTCTTTTTCTTCTCCGTCTCCTGCTCTTACCATTCTTCATTTATTACTCTTTTCTTCTTTTCGGCCATCTGCGTTTTCTGACCTCTCTTTGTTGCTATTTTGTATATACCTTTTTTATTTTATTTTTTTTTACTGATAATCCGCCCTATTTTGTATTCACTTCTCATATTTTAAATAACGTATGTTGTTAATCTTCTTGTATTTACATTACTTTTTTATTATCTTATTCTTGATATTATTTTCAAGCATATTTCAGAGACGTTTAAAAAAAGGAATGATTAAGATCCATTTTAAACAATGCGGATATTATTTCTAACGAGGCCTTCGATAACATAAAAAAAACAATATTATTTTTTCTTTGTAACTTTATAACTTCTTCCATATTTTAAGTCGCAAGCGCAAGTCCGCGATAATTGCACAATTGTCAAAGGCCACAATAATTGTAGGCTCGTTTCCGCTAGACCAGTGTTGCCGTCATTAAGAACCATTAGTTTTGCTGACAATTGTTTATTCGGGCTCGATTAGGGGACCTATGTGAGCGAGATTATGATAGTGCCAAACCATATGGAGATAAGCAGCTATCAAAACCTGCATGCTTCATTTCACTGTCTATTCTTTGATTGACTTATTTATCTATTTACTTCAAGTTGGCAACACTGGGCGAACAGACGAGGCCGCCATATTGAAATTGAAGGCGGTAATTTCAAAGTTCCAAATGCGATTTTCTTACACAGCGCATGATTCCTTAATGCAGATATAGAGTTATTGCAAATATGATAATAATAATCGTTTTAAAAAATCTCGTTTATTGAGTATAAGCCGGAGTTAGCGAAAAGGGATTGATTTAATTTTAATCAACCGAACAGCCAAGATTCAGAAAGTGTAGGCAGATAGTCTTCTAAAAGCGACACAAAGAATTGACACAAATGACAGACTTCATACTGATATGGCAGAGTAAGTGCCACACCCATTTTTAATCCATAAAAAAAATAATATATATGTATGTATATGTCCAGTACTCTGCCTTGAAACACAGATAAAGTGAGGGGGGAGGGGGGGGGTATTTGTTCCATCATTGCTTGTAGTCATTTCAACTTGAATTTTTCCACCTACTGCTCCGAATTTATGTACTTACTGCTGTAATATCTGCTGTATCGTAGGCATAGCATGTTCTTTTTCTATATCAAAACTTATGCATGTGGTGTATATATTATTGATTTTTTTTTTTTATTCTAGCTCTTTTGCAATATGTACATAGGCCTATAGTTGCATTTTTTTCGTATTTATTCGTTCCTTCTTTTTCTCTCTTTATTTCTCTTCTCTATTTGTATCAATTGTATCCTAAACTTATTTCTTTATCTTACTCTTCTGTCTTTCCTATTCTTTTTCTTATCTCCCCTCTTTATCACTCTCTTCAAACTGATTCCCATTACCTACTTTAGCACCTATTTTTTTCTTCTCTTTCTTCCTTTTTTTCTTCTTCTCCCATTCCTTTTACGTTCACTCCCTTTGTCTTCCGTTCCTCCCCAGCTCCCCTTTCTCCTCCTTTCCCACTTCTTGCCATTTTCGTCCTCCTTTAACCTCCCTACTCCAATCCCCCTACCTTCCCTCCCCCTTTTCCCTAACCCTGTTCCTCTACCCTTACTCGCACCTCTAACCTCCATTAACCTACCTTCACCTGCTCTCCCTCCTCTTTCCCTCCTCCTTCCCTCCTCTTTCCCTCCCTTCCTCTTCCTCTTCCCTCCCTACCTCCCTCCTTCCTCTCCCCTCCTCCCTCCTTCCTCTTTCCTCCCTCCTCCTCTTTCCCTCCTCCCTCCTCTCCTCCCTCCCTCCCCTCCTAGTTAGAAACCCCGAAAAAAATGCAAACAAAAGTCAACTTAACCTAACTTACTCTCCCTTGGCAGTTCTATAAGGACCCCACCTGTTCTTCCTCCCCCCTCCTACCCTTTTCCCTCCCCCCCCTCCCACACTCCCATGTAGTAAGAAACCTCGAAGACAAAAAAAAAAAAAAAAAAAAAAAATCGCCCTTACTTGACCTAACTTGACCTACTCTCCCCATCCTACCCTTACTCCTCCCCCCTCCCTCCCATCCCACACTCCCATGTAATAAGAAACCCCGAATAAAAAACAAAATAATAATAATAAAAGAAATTGACCTTTAACCTACCCTACCTTGCCCAAACTCGACCTAACTTGACCTAACTTGACCTACTCTCCCCCGGCAGTTCGAGAAGGGACCCCACCTGTTCTCCGAAGAACACGGCCTCATTTTCCGGTCCTTCGTCTACCTGTTCAGCCAACTGCAGAACCGGGATGACCAGGAATTCACCCTCACAGCCTCATACCTCGAGATCTACAACGAAAAGGTAAATAGCAAAAATAATAATATAATAATAATAATAATAATGATAATAAAAAGAGAGAGAGCAACGAAAAGGTAAATAGCAAAACAAGAAAAAAGAAAAAAGGAGAGAGAGAGAGAGAAAAGAGAGAGAGAGAGAGAGAGAGAGAGAGAAAGAGAGAGAGAGGATGTATGATTTCCATTTGTAAATATATCTTCCATTACAGAATTTCCTTTTTATTATTATTATAGCTTAGTGAGTGTAAGAGTTTGAGAATGAGTGGGAGTGAGAGAAAGGAGAGAGAGAGAGAGACAGTGAGAGAGATAGAGAGAGAGTGAGAGAGAAGAGACAGAGAGTGAGACAGAGTGAGAGTGAGAGAGATAGAGACAGAGAGAGAGAGAGAGACAGAGAGTGAGAGAGAGAAAGGAGAGAGAGAGAGTGAGAGTGAAGAGAGATAGAGACAGAGAGAGAGTGAAAGAGAGAGAGACAGAGACAGAGAGTGAAAAAGAGACAGACAGAGAGTGAAAGAGAGAGAGACAGACAGAGAGTGAAAGAGAGAGAGACAGACAGAGAGTGAAAGAGAGAGAGACGACAGAGAGTGAAAGAAGAGAGACAGAGAAAGAGAGAGAGAAGAGTGAAAGAGAGAGAGACAGACAGTGAAAGAGAGAGGACAGACAGTGAAAGAGAGAGAGACAGACAGTGAAAGAGAGAGACAGACAGAGAGAGAGAGACAGAGAGTGAAAGAGAGACAGTGAAAGAGAGAGAGAGAGAGTAAAGAGAGAGAGACAGACAGTGAAGAGAGAGAGACAGAGAAAAGAGAGAGACAAACAGACAGTGAAAGAGAGAGAGACAGACAGTGAAAGAGAGAGAGACAGACAGTGAAAGAGAGGAGAAGACAGAGAGAGAGAGAGACGAGTGAGACAGAGAGAGAGAGAGAGAGTGAAAGAGAGAGAGACAGACAGTGAAAGAGAGAGAGACAGACAGTGAAAGAGAGGAGAGAAGAAGAGAGAGAGGAGAGTGAAAGAGAGAGAGAGGAGAGGAGAGACAGAACAGAGTGAAAGAGAGAGAGACAGAACAGTGAAAGAGAGAGAGACGACAGTGAAAGAGTGAAAGAGAGAGACAGACGAGAGAGAGAGTGAAAGAGAGAGAGGCAGAGTGAAAGAGAGAGAGACAGACAGGAGAGAGAGAGAGACAGTGAGAGAGAGAGCAGACAGTGAAGAGAGAACAGACAAAAAGAGAGAGAGACAGAGAAAGAGAGATTATAGACCATCTATTCATTTTGAACTCACAAAAATCTATAGACCACTTAACATCTCTTACTTAGTTATTTTTACTGACTTGGACTTCCGTAACTAGCCTGGCGTGTCACCAGTGACGCGTGATTCTAGGCCCTGTAACCCATTAACCATTATCCATATATCCTTCCCCCCCTCCCCCTATCCCTCCTTCACCTTTCTTCTTCTGTTCACCCTCTTCCACTCTCTCCTCTTCTCCTTTTCCCCTCTTCCCCTTTCCCTCTCTCCTCCCCCCCCCCCTCTCTCTCTCTCTCTCTCTCTCTCTCTCTCTCTCTCTCTCTCCTCTCTTCTCTCTCTCTCTCTCTCTCTCTCTCTCTCTCTCTCTCTCCTCTCTTCTCTTTCTCCTCTCTCTCTCTTTCTATCGCGCTTCCCTTTCCTTTCTACCCTTCTTCCCCTCTCCCTCATCTCCCCCCCCCTTGCTCCTCTCCCCAGTATACCCCTCCCCCCCCTCCGTAAAATTAACAGTAAACCAGATCGATATATTTATGAAGTCTAGGACATTTTCCTTTCATTATATAGCTTTTGCAGATAAAAAAAGAAAGAAAGAAATATGCACATTATTTTATAAGATTAATGAACCTTTTTCATGTTCCTATTTCCTTTCATCTTTTATCTGTCTTTCTCCCTTTTTTCATTCTCTTTCCTTCACTCTTCCTTTCTATGTTTTTTCTTCCTCCTTTTTTCTTTATTTTCTCTTATTCTCCGTCCTTTTCGGTCTCACCTCCTTCTCCCTATTTCCTTCTATCTCTCTCCCCCCTTCCTTTTCTCGTATTTTCCTTTCTCCCTTTTTTTTTTTTTTCTTTTTACTGCTTATCCTTCCTCCTTTCCCTTCCCCCCATTTTTTCCTATTCTCCCTCCTTCCCTCTTTTTCTCCGTCTTTTCCCTTCTTTCTTCCCTCTCCTTTTTCCGTCTCTCTCCTTTCTCTTTTTTCCCTTCTCCTTTTCCTCTTCCTTCCATTTCCTCCTTACTCTTTCCCTCCTTCTCCCTCCACCTCCCCTTTCCCTCCTTCTTCCTCCTCCCCTTTCTCTCCTTCTTCCTCTTCCCTCTCCTTCCTTCTCCCTCCACCTCCTTCCTTCTTCCTTCTCCCTATTCCTCCTTCCTCCTTTCTTTCCCCCTCTCCTTCCCCTCCCTTCTCCTCTTCCTTCCCCCTTTCTCCTCCCCTCCTCCTTCTTCTTCCTCTTCCCTCCTCCTTCTTCCTCCCTCTCCCTCCTCCTCCTTCCTTCCCCCTCTCCTCCTCCTTCCTTCCCCTCTTCCCTCCTCCTCCTTCCTTCCCCTCCTCCTCTTCCTTCCTTCCTTCTCCCTTCTCCTCCTTCTTCCCCCTCCTTCCTCCTTCTTCCCACTCTTCCCTCCTCCTCCTTCCCCCTCTTCCCTCCTCTCCTCCCTTCCTTCTTCCTCTTCCTCCTCCTTCCTTCCCCCCTCCACCTCCTCCTTCCTTCTTCTTCCCCTCCTCCCTCGTCCTCCTTCCTCCTTCTTCCTCCTCCCCTTTTCTCTTCTCCCTCCTCCTCCCTCCTTCCTTCTGCCCTTCTTCCCTCCTTCTCCCACTTTTCTCCTTCCCCTTCCTCTTCCTCCTTCTCCCCTTTTCTCTTCCCCCTCCTCCTCCTTCCTTCCTTCTTCCTTCTCCCTCCTTCCTCCTCCCCTCATTAGTCCACAACGATGGAATTACGTAAGTTAACCTGTACCGAACCCTCAGTAAACTCCCTCAGTATCCGGACGCGTCTGACTGGGACTCATACAGGTGCATCGATCGCTTAACCGAAGGCCGTTGTATTGGGTCGTTAGAGAGGGAGAGAGGGAGAGGGAGAGGAGGGAGGAGGGAGGGGGAAGGAGGGAGGGGGGGGAGGAGGGAGGGAGAGGAAGGAGGGGGGTGGGAGAGAGAGGGAGAGGGAGGGAAGGAGGGTGGGAGGGGGGAGGGGGGATGGGATGGGAGAGAGGGAGGGAGGAAAGGAGGGGGGGTGGGATGCGAGGGAGGGAGGGAGAGGAGGGAGGGGTGGGAGGGGGGATGGGAGAGAGGGAGGGTGGGAGAGAGAGGGAGGGAGGGAGGGAGGGAGGGAGAGGGAGGGAAGGAGGGAGGGAGGGAGGGAGGGAGGGAGGAGAGAGGAGAGCGAGAGAGAGAGAGAGAGAAGAGAGAAGAAAGAAAGAGAAAACGATCTAAAGAGAAGGGACTTTAAAAACTTTTTTATATTGTTATTATGATTATTACTTGTAACGATTTTTTTTTTTTTTTGGGGGGGGGGTAGTAGAGGTCGTTAGAAAATGTTGGATTTCGGTTGTTAAGGTTTTCAGCGCTGTAAGAATATGTTATAGGAAAGTTGTAGTTATAGGAAAGGAAAGTGGGTTGTGAAAGGGAAGAGTTGAAGTGACTTTTGATATGTTTGATATGAAAGAATGTTGGGCATGAGAACGCGGTTGCTTGTTTTTTTTCGTGTTCTTATTTTCTTCTTCCTTTTTCGCTTTTTTTTTCTTATTTTTCTTCTCTATTTTTTTCTTATTGTGCTTCTTTTATTTTATTTTATTCCTTTTCGCGTTTTTTTTTTCGTATTTTTCTTCTCTATTTTTTCTTATTGTGCTGCTTCTTTTTCTTTTCTTCTCCCTTTCTTTTCTTCTTTCTCCTCTTTGAGTTAGACCATTTTTGGCGGGAAAATGCGACTGTTGGTAATTCGTTTTTATCTTAATTTTCTTCCTTTTTGAGTATACGAACACATACGCACACATATATTTAAAAACGCACACATGTATTTAAACACACACACACACATTTACAACACACACGCACACATGTATTTACACCACACACACACACACACACATGTATTGCAAACACATGTACATACATATATATAACATATTTTCACATCACCTAAAATCATTCCCCAAAATTACTAGACACACATTCATGTATTTTCCTCCCTCTTCCCGCTTTCTCTAACCGCGCGAAAAACAAAATCAAGCGACAAAACAAAAGACAGTCGACATGCGCACTGCCCAGCCCCTTCCGATTCCATTAATAGATCGATTTTAACTTGATTACTCAACTGTTATGAACTGTGGACGATTTACTAGTAGATGGGGGGGTGGAGGAGAGGGAGGAGCGAGACCGTAGATTCAAAATAAAAGAAGAGAGAAGAAAAAATATGAGTTGAGTTATTACGTCTTGATGGTTCGGTACAGCGTGTGTGAGAAATACGTGTTTGGGTTAATGATCGATGGTTTGTGCTACTGTATATATGTATGTATCTATCTAATCTATCTATCTGTCTGTCTGTCTGTCTTCTGTCTTCTGTTTGTCTGTCTGTCTGTCTGTCTGTCTATCTGTCTCTGTCTGTCTGTCTGTCTATCTATCTGTCTCTATCTGGTCTTCTATCTATCTATCTTCTATCTATCTATCTATCTATCTATCTATCTATCTGTCTATCTGTCTGTCTGTCTGTCTGTCTGTCTGTCTGTCTCCTCTATCTATCTATCTATCTATCTATCTATCTATCTATCTATCTATCTATCTATCTATCTATCTATCTATCTGTCTATCTATCTATCTATATTGTCTTTTTATTGGCGCTTGCTTTTGTTTTATCGCGGTTAGAGAAAGAGGGAGGGAGGTGAATACAAATGCGTTTCCAGTGATTTTAGGAATGAGGTTAGGTGAAATATGTGAAAATGTGTTATATATATGTATGTACATGTGTGTGTGTTTGTTTGTTTATGTGTGTGTGTGTGTGTGTGTGTGTGTGTGTGTGTGTGTGTGTGTGTGTGTGTGTGTGTGTGTGTGTGTGTGTGTGTGTAGTGTGTGTGTGTGTGTGTGTGTGTGTGTGTGTGTGTGTCGTGTGTGTGTGTGTGTGTGTGTGTGTGTGTGGTGCGTGCGCGTTCGTGTGTGCGTGTGTGTGTGTGTGTGTGTGTAAATTTTCTCTTTATTGACTTTACTTGCACTCACGTAGTATGATGCGTGTGTGAGTGGTAGAGTACACATGTCAAGGTAAAATCAAGAATAAAAAATAATAATAATAAAATAAAGAAATGAAATGAATATAGAAATATATATTGATTTCACAGATGATGACGAATGATAATGATAATAAGAGATATGATAATGATTGCAATAATGATTATGATGATGACGTTGATAATGATAATAAACGATAACAATAATGATAATGATAAAAATAACAGCAATAATAATAACAATAACGATAATGATAAAGAGAACAATAATAAAGATAAAAACAACAGTAACGATAATGCTAAAGAAACAAAAACATGATAATAATAAACAATAATGATAACAATAACATTAATAATGATAATAACGGTAATGATAACGATGATAATGATGATCGAATCGATGAAAATACTTACTTATTTCTCTTCTTCCCTTTCAACGTAGTAATTCACTCACTTACTCGGCGAACTCTCCATATTTCACCTGTCACGGAGTTTAATTAAGGGGACAAGCGGGCAAGGTCGCGGCGGCGGGGGGGGTGGGGGTGGGGGGGATGGGTGTTATTGGATGAGCCCCTCCTCCCCTCTTCCCCTTCCACTTTATTGTTTGTCTTTGCTATTATCATTATTATTGTTATTATTATGATCATAATAATCGTTATTATCGTTGTTGTTGTTATTATTATCATTATTGCTTTGGATTATCAATATCATCAATATTATAATCATTATTATTAGTAATAGTTTTCAGCATTATATTAAAGATTGTGATTATTGTTATCATTTTGTTGTCATCATCATCATTATTATTACTATTGTAATAATTTTACGGTTATTGTTGGTGTTATTATCATTATTTTATCCTTCCTCTCTCTCCATCCCATTTCCTTCCTCCCATTTCTTCTCTTTCTCTCCCCCCCCTAATTCTCTTTCTACTCCCTTCCTTTTTCTCTCTCTCCTTTTTTTTCCTCTCTTTTTCCTTCTCCCTCTCTCGTTCCTCTCTTCTTCTCCTCCTTCCTTCCTTCCTTCCTTCCTTCCTTCCTTCCTTCCTTCCTTCCTTCCTTCCTTCCTTCCTCCCTCCTCCCTCCCTCCCTTCTCCTTCCACTCCCTTCCTCTCCCTACCTCTCCTCCTTTCTCTCCTTCCCACTCGCTCTCACTTCTTCCCACTCCCCTCCCCCCCCCCCCCTCCTATAACTCTCAAACTACCTTCTTTCCCTCCCTTGCACTTCCATTCCCTCCCTCTCTCTCTCCCTTGCCTCCCTTTCATTCCTCCCCTCCTTCTATCATCCTCTACATTTTCTCCCTCCCTCCCACTCTACCTCCCTCTCCTTTCCACTCCCACTCCTTCACCCTCCTTCCTTCTCTCTCTCTCCCACTCCCTCCCTCCTTCTTCCCACATCCTCCCACCCACTCTCTCCCACATTCTTCCTACCTCCCTTCTCCCCCCACTCCTTCCCTCTCCCTCTCCTTCCCACTCCCTACCACTCTCACCAAATCCCTCCCGCCCTCTCTCCCACCCACTCCCTCTCCCACTCCTTCTCCTTCCCACTCCTTCCCTCCTCCTCTCCTTCCCACTCCTTACCACTCTCACCCAATCCCCCCCCCCCCACCCTCTCTCCCACCCACTCCCTCTCCCTCTCCCTCCCTCCTTCTCTCTCCCTCTCACTTCCTCTCCCTCCCTCCTCTCTCCTTCCCACTTCCTCTCCCTCCCGCCCACTTCCACTCCCTCTCCTTCCCTTCCTATCCCTCCCACTCCCTCTCCCTCCTTCCTTCTCTCTCTCTCCCCCTCTCCCTCCCACTCCCTCCTTCTACCAACCCTCTAACTCCCTCTCTCTCTCTCTCCCTCAAGGTGATTGACCTGCTGAACATCGGAACCAACCAGAAGCCGCTTCAGGTCCGCTGGAGTAAGAAAAAAAGGGGGTTTTTCGTCGAGAATCTGTTCGAGATCGAGTGCGCGGAGTTGGACGACCTGCTGGCGGTGCTGGAGGAAGGTGAGGGGAGAAAGGGATAAAGGGGAGGAAGAGATAAAGGGGAGGAAGGAAGGAAGGAGGAGAGAAAGAGATAGAGAGACAAAGGGGAGGAAGAGAGGGAGAGATAAAGGGGATAAATGGAGAAGGAAGGAGAGAGAGAGATAAAGAGACAAAGGGGAGGAAGAGAGAAAGAGAGAAAGGGGGAGAAAGAGGGAGAAAGGATAAAGAGATAAGAAAAGTTTGTTTTTTTTTTTCGTCGAGAATCTGTTCGAGATCGAGTGCGCGGAGTTGGACGACCTGCTGGCGGTGCTGGAGGAAGGTGAGGAGAGATGGGGGAGACGGGGATAAAGGGGAGGAAGGGAGGAAGAGATAAAAGGGAAGAAGGAGAAGGAAGGTGGAGAGAAAGAGATAAAGGGAGGAAGAGAGAAAGAGAGAAGGAGGATAAAGGGGAAGAAGGAGAAAAGAGATAAAGGCGAGGAAGAAAGTGAGAAAAGGGGGAAAAAGAGAAGGAAGGAGGAGAGAAAGAGATAAAAGGGAGGAAGAAAATGAGAAAAGGGAGAAAGAGAGAAGGAGGAGATGAAAAGATAAAAGGGAGGAAGAGAGAAAGAGATAAAGGGAGGAAGAAAGTGAGAAAAGGGGAAAGAGAAGGAAGGAGGAGAGAAAGAGATAAAGGGAGGAAGAGAAAAGAAATAAAGGAAGGAGGAGAGAAAGAGAGAAAGAGATAAGGAAGGAAGAGAGAGAGATACAAAGGGAGGGGGAAAGAAGAGATAAAGGGGAGAAATAGAGAAAGGGACAGGGAAAGGGACAAAATGAAAGAATGGGAGAATTTGAGAATGAGGAAGACAAGAAGAAAAAGGGAGAAGGAAAATAGGAGGGGGAGAAAGAGAAAGAGGGAATAAAATCAAATCGAAGAAGATAAAGAAGGAAGGGGAGAATTGAGAGGAAGAGAGAAGGGGGAAGAGAGAGAGAGAGAGAGAGAGAGAGAAAAGAAGGTGCATGAAGATAAAGAAAGAGGAGAGAAAAAAGAAATGAGGAAGAAAGAATAAATGAAAGAGAGAAGGAAGGCGAAAGAGGGAGATAGCGAGAATAAGACCGACGATTTGCAGGCAGTCGGAGGAGAAAGGGAGAGAAAGAGAGACAGGGAGAGAAAGGGATAGAGAAAGAGGGAGAAAGCGCGAGAAAGAGAGAGAAAGGGGAGAAAGAGAGAGAAAGGAGAGAAAGAGAGAGAAAGAGAGAGACAGGATGAGGAAGAAAAGAGGATACAACGAAAAGAATGAAAAGGGAAGAGAGAGGGGCGAAGGAGGAAGAGAATAAGAGGGAAGCAAAAGAATATAGAAATACAATTAAGAATTATGGAAAACATCGATAAAATTGATGATAGAAATTAGCAAAAAAAAAAAAGTAAATAAAATATAAATGATAGAAAAAATGTAAAGAAAAGAATGTAAACTTTTTAAAAAATATATGACAATAGAGTTAATTGACAGTCATTAAATTTCAGGCTCAGCTATAAAGGCAGCGAATTAACAAAGGCTGTCAGAGATAAGAACGAAGGGGGGAGGGAGGGAGATAGTCAGTCTGTCAATCAATTAGGCAGGCAGGCAAACAAGCGGGCAGGCAGTTAGTCAGTCCGTCAGTCTATTAGTTTGTTTGTTAGTCAGTCTGTCAGTCTATTAGTTGGTTTGTTAGTTAGTCAGTCCGTCAGTCTATTAGTCTATTAGTTTGTTTGTTAGTCCGCCAGTCTATTAGTCAGTCCTTCAGTCCGTTAGTCAGTTGTTAGTCAGTCCGTCAGTCTATTAGTTAGTTAGTTAGTTTGTTAGTCCGTTAGTCAATCCGTCAGTCTATTATTCAGTTATATAGTTAAGTCAGTCTGTCAGTCTGTTAGTTAGCTAGTTTGTTTGTTAGTCAGTTTGTCGGTCAGTCAGTCAGTTGTTAGAGGCAAATAGATAAAGAGAGTATCTGATGTTTGTAGTAATTGTCACTTTGACGGTCAGGTGATTTTGCTGATAAACAAATAAACACATACGCACAACACACGAGCATACGCACTGTATATATGTGTATATATATATAATATAATATATATATTATATATATATATATATATATATATATATATAATAATGTGTGTGTGTGTGTGTGTGTATGTATATCTATGTATATATATATATTGTATGTTTGTGTGTGTGTACGTGTGTATGTACGTAGATGTGTGTGTGTGGCGCATGTGTGTGCGTGCATGAAATATATGTAATGAGGCAACAAGCGATTAATAGCGACTGGTAGTTAGTCTCATTCTTCAAGCTAATTACCCTAATCACTCACTGGCATGAATGATGGGCAATTAGTGACAACGAATGGCGTTCACAGAGAAAGGGATGAGACAGAGGAACGCAGGAAAAATATGTGGAATGCTATATAGGAGAAAAAGGGAGAGAGAAGGGAGAGAAGAGGGAGAGGGAAGGAGAGTGAAGGAGTGATTGAGTGGGTGAGAGAGAAAGCAATAAAAAGGAGCGAATTAAGGACAGAGCGAGTGGGAAAGAGAGCAGAGGTAGGGAGATGCAAATAGATAGATAAAGAGAGAGAGAGAGAGACCCAGTCATACACAGACAGACAGACAGGAATTTAAAAATATCGATTATGAAAATAACAATATGAAATATCCTAAAGGGAGAACATGGTGCAGCTACAAATGATAAAAATGATGATGATAATAATAATAATAATAATAAATAATAATAACGATAACGGTAATATTAATATAACAAACTAAGAGTGATGGTATGATATCAGCAGTACCAGTAATTATACTACTATTGCTACCGATAATAGTACTAAGCATAGTAATAATAATAATATAATAATAATAATAATAATAATAATAATGAAATAGAAATGATAGTGATGATGATGATAATGAGAATGATATGATGATGAGAATGTGAGAATGATAATGATAACATTAATGAGAATGAGAATGAGAATAATATAATTGAGAATGAGGATGATGATAATAATCATAATACTCATAACGCTAATAGCAAATAACACTTATCACAACTCACAACCCTCCTCTGTGTACCCCCAGGCCTGCGGAACCGAGCCATCGCCTCTCACAACATGAACGAATACTCATCGCGAAGCCACACCATCCTCACGGTCAACATAACGTCAGAGAAGAAGGTAAGTTGGGGTTGTGAGGTTCATGTTGTGAGTGAGAGGGAGAATTTTTTTTTTTTTTTTTTTTTTTGTGTGTGTGTGAGAGGGCGATTTTTTTTTTTTTTTTTTTTGGGGGGGGGTATGGATGAAGAGGTTAGTTTGGATGTGAAATTCTTTTGTGAATAATGAGTAAAGTTGGATATATTTTCTTCATGGATACATTTGTTAGTTTGGATTTTAAATTTCCTGTTGTGAATAAAAATATGGATGTTTTTATGGAGAAATTGGTTTGGATGCGAATTTCTCTTGTAAATACATGAGGGAAGTTGGATATATTTTTTCATATGGATAAAGTTGTTTGGATTATATATTTCCTATTGTGGATCTAAAAGTGGATATGGTCGTCATTCTTCCCTATGGATAAAGAGGTTACTTTTGTATGTGAATTTCCATCATAAAGGATAAAGGAAGTTGGATATTTTTTGTGGATAAAGATGTGAGTTTGGATTATAGACTTACATTTAAAAATAAAAAAGGTGGATTTGGAGGTGTCTCTTCTATGGATAAAGAGGTTTAAAAAAATTGATGAATAAGAAAGCAAGTTTGGATAAATGTTTCAATTCTTGATATGCAAATAGTAAGTTTGGATATGAACTTCCCGTATGAATTAATTAGATGGATTTTGGATATGAGGTTTTCTTAGAAATGATTTTATTAATATAGATTTCCCATGATCAATAAAAAAAGATGAATTTAGATTTTCCTTTGGATAAAGAGGTGAGTTTGACATCCACATGTCATAAATAAAACTAACTTTACGAACAAGTAAATACACAAACAACATCCACATATCACGACCAACCTTCACGAATAAACCCTAAAACTTCACACAAATAAACTTCACACGAATAAATCCTAAAATTCACACAAATAAACCCTAAAACTTTACACGAATAAATCCTAAAACTTCACATGCTTAAACCTAAAACTTCACACGAATAAACCTAAAACTTCACACGAATAAATCTTAAAATTTCACACAAATAAACCCTAAAACTTCACACAAATAAACCTAAAACTTCACACGCTTAAACACCAAAACTTCACACGAATAAAGCCTAAAACTTCACACGCATGAACCTAAAACTTCACACGTTTAAACCCCAAAACTTCACACGAATAAACCCTAAAACTTCACACGCTTAAACCCAAAACTTCACACGAATAAACCCTAAAACTTCACACGAATAAACCCTAAAACTTCACACGAATAAACCATAAAACTTCACACGAATAAACCATAAAACTTCACACGTTTAAACCACAAAAACTTCACATGCATGAACCTAGAACTTCGCACGCTTAAACCCCAAAACTTCACACGAGTAAACCCTAAAACTTCACACGCTTAAACCTAAAACTTCACACAAATAAACCTAAAACTTCACACGCATGAACCTAAAACTTCACACGCTTAAACCCCAAAACTTCACACGATTAAAGCTCTAAGACTTCACAAAATAAACCCAACTTCACGAATATACCCAAAACTTCACACGAATAAACCCCAAAACTTCACACGAATAAAACCCAAAACTTCACACAAATAAACCCCCAAAATTCACAAGCATAAACCCCAAAACTTCACACAAATAAACCCCAAAAGCTTCACACGCACAAACCCCAAAACTTCACCCGAATAAACCCCAAAAAACTTCACCCGAATAAACCCTAAAACTTCACCCGAATAAACCCTAAAACTTCACACGAAATAAACCCCAAAACTTCACACAAATAAACCCCAAAACTTCACCCGAATAAACCCAAAAACTTCACACGAATAAACCCTAAAACTTCACACGAATAAACCCTAAAACTTCACACGAATAAACCCCAAAACTTCAAGACAAACCCCAAAACTTCACACGAATAAACCCTAAAACTTCACAAAATAAACCCAATTTTACAAATAAACCTAACTTCACATGAATAAACCCTAAAACTCTACACGAATAAACCATAAAACTTCACACGAATAAACCCCAAAACTTCATAAACCCACTTCACGAATAAAACTAACTTCACCGAAATAAACATAACTTCACCCGAATAAACCCCAAAACTTCACACCCAAAACCAAAACTTCACACGAATAAAACTAACTTCACCGAAATAAACCCCAAAACTTCCCCAGGCTGACGACGGCGTGTACATCACCCGCAACGGCAAGATCAACTTCGTGGACCTCGCTGGCTCCGAGATGACCAAGAAGACCAACTCCGAGGGCAAGACGCTGGAGGAAGCCAACAACATCAATAAGTCTCTCATGGTGCTGGGTGAGTGGGAGTTCGTGATGTGTCTTTTTTTTTCTTTCTTTCTTTCTTTCTTTCTCTCTCCTTCTCCTCCTCCTTCTTCTTCTTCTTCCTCAATAACGTCAACAAGTCTCTCATGGTGCTCGGTGAGTGTCTTTTTTTCTTTCTTTCTTTCTTTCTTTCTTTCTTTCTTTCTTAGTTCGTGATGTGTCTTTTTCTCTTCTTCTTCTTTCTTTCTTCTTCTTCTCCTTCTCCTCTCCTTCTTCTTCTTCTTCTTCTTCTTCTTCTCAACAACATCAACAAGTCTCTCATGGTGCTGGGTGAGTGGGAGTTTTTCTTCTTTCTTTCTTTCTTTCTTTCTTTCTTAGTTCGTGATGTGTCTTTTTTCTTCTTCTTCTTCTTTCTTTCTTCTTCTTTTTCTTCTTCTTCTTCTCCTTCTCCTTCTTCTTCTTTCTTTCTTCTTCTTCTCCTTCTCCTTCTTCTTCTTCTTCTTCTTCTTCTTCTTCTTCTTCCTCAACAACGTCAACAAGTCTCTCATGGTGCTGGGTGAGTGTCTTTTTTTTCTTCTTTCTTTCTTTCTTCTTCTCCCTCCCGGTGAGTGGGAGTTCGTGATGTCTTTTTTTTTTTTTATTATTATTATTATTGCCATTTATTGTTTTTTTTTTTTCGTTTCTTCTTCTTCACCAACATCAGCAAGTCTCTCATGGTGCTCGGTGAGTGGGAGTTCGTGATGTTTTTTTTTTTTTTTTTTTTTTTTTTTTAATGCCATTTAATTGATTTTCTTCTTCTTCTTCTTCTTCTTCTTCTTCACTAACAATGTCAAAAAAGTCACTCGCGGTGCTGGGTGAGTGGGAGTTTGTGATGTGTCTTTTTTTTCTTTCTTTCTTTCTTTTTCGTTTCTTTCTTCTTCTTTTTCTTCAACAACATCAACAAGTCTCTCATGGTGCTCGGTGAGTGGGAGTTCGTGATGTCTTTTTTTTTTCTTCTTCTTCTCTCCTTTTCCTTCTTCTTCTTCTTCTTCCTCAATAACGTCAACAAGTCTCTCATGGTGCTGGGTGAGTGGGAGTTTGTGATGTTTCTTTCTTTTCTTTTCTTTCTTTCTTCTCCTTCTCCTCCTTCTTCTTCTTCTTCCTCAATAACGTCAACAAGTCTCTCATGGTGCTGGGTGAGTGGGAGTTTGTGATGTTTTCTTTTTTTTCTTTTCTTTCTTTCTTCTCCTTCTCCTCCTCTCTTCTTCTTCTTCTTCCCTCAATAATGTCAACAAGTCTCTCATGGTGCTGGGTGAGTGGGAGTTCGTGATGTGTCTTCTGTTTTTTTTTATTCTTTCTTTCTTTCTTCTTTCTTTTTCTTTGCTTTTCGTCTTCTTCTTCTTTTCTTCTTTTTTTTCTTCAACATCAAGTCACTCATGGTGCTCGGTGAGTGGGAGTTTGTGATGTTTCTTTGTTTTTGTTTTTTCTTTCTTTTCTTTTTCTTTGGGTTTTCTTTCTTCTTTCTTTTTCTTTGGGTTTTTCTTCTTCTTCTTCTTCTTTCTTTTTCTTTTCTGTCATGGAGCTCGGTGAGTGGGAATTTGTGGTGTTTCTTTGCTTTTTGTAATTTTTTGTTTCTTTTCTTTCCTTCCCCTTTCTTCCTCCTTTATTTTATTTTTTTATTTTATTTCATTATTTTTTTCTTCGTCTTTTTCCTTTTTTTTCAACAAGTCTCTCATGTGCTGGGTGAGTGTTTTTTTTTTTTTTTTTTCCTTCGTACCTTTTCCCACACGTAACCCTTTGAATAAATAAACAACGCGAATTTACACCTCGCGTAGTTGTACCCACGCCCATTGTCGACACTGGGGCGCCCTTCGTCTGCCGCTCTCCGTGGGCGCTTATTGACAAACAACGAATCGATAAAAACCATTATCGTGATGAAGTAAACATTGCGGGCTTTGTTGTGATGAGGTCGACAAGGTCATGGGGTTTTGTTTTGTTTTTTTGTTTGTTTGTTTTGTTTTGTTTGGTGGTGAAGGTCGTGTGTTGTTTTTTTTGTTTGATGTTTTTTTTTGGTTTGGTTTTTTTGTTTGTTTGTCTTGTTTTGTTTGGTGGTGAAGGTCGTGTGTTGTTTGTGAGTTTGTTTGATGTTTTTTGTTTTGTTTTTTTTGTTTGTTTGTCTTGTTTTGTTTGGTGGTGAAGGTCGTGTGTTGTTTGTGAGTTTGTTTGATGTTTTTTGTTTTGTTTTTTTTTTTGTTTGTTTGTCTTGTTTGTTTGTGGTGAAGGTCGTGTGTTGTTTGTGAGTTTGTTTTGATGTTTTTTGTTTTGGTTTTTTTTGTTTGTTTGTCTTGTTTTGTTTGGTGGTGAAGGTCGTGTGTTGTTTGTGAGTTTGCTTGATGTTTTTTGTTTTGTTTTTTTGTTTTGTTTGTCTTGTTTGTTTGGTTGGTGAAGGTCGTGTGTTGTTTGTGAGTTTGATGTTTTTTGTTTTGTTTTTTTTTTGTTTGTTTGTCTTTTTGTTTTGGTGGTGAAGGTCGTGTGTGTTTGTGAGTTTGTTTGATGTTTTTTGGTTTGTTTTTTTTTTTGTTTGTTTTGTTTTGTTTGGTGGTGAAGGTCGTGTGTTGTTTGTGAGTTTGTTTGATGTTTTTTGTTTTGTTTTTTTGTTTGTTTGTCTTGTTTTGTTTGGTGGTGAAGGTCGTGTGTTGTTTGTGAGTTTGTTTGATGTTTTTTTGGTTTATTTTGGGGGGTGGGGGGAAGGGGGTTTTGTTTGTCGACCTTTTTGTTGTATTTTAATTTCTTGGTCGATTTTTTTTTTTTTTATAACATTCCATTTTAATTTGTTTATCTTTTATTTTTTGTTCCTTCTTTTCATGTTAGTTTTTTTTTGTTTTTTTCTTTTATTTTCTTTTATCTTCCATCACTTACTTGTCCTTTTTCTTTTTCTTTCTCTCTTTTCTTTTCATTTTTTTTTTTTTTTTTCGATGTCCTTTTCATTTTTTCGATCCATCCTGTTTCTCTTTTTTCTTCGTAAATTGCGTTCTTCCTCTTTCACTCCTTTCCTCTCTGCTTCTTTCTTTTCTTTCATACTCCTCCTCTTCATCTTCTTCTGTTTCTATTATATTATTATTATTATTATATTATATTAATTATCATAATCAATTATTATTCATTATCATTATTTCTTCTCTTCCCTCTCTCTCATTCCCCCCTCCTCCTTCCTTTCTTCTTCCTTCCTTCCTTCCTTCCTTCCTTCCTCCTTCCTCCTCCCTCCCTCCCTCCCTCCTCCTTCTCCTCATCATCAATCTTCTTCTTCCCTCCTCCCTTCTTCCTCCTCTTCCTTCCTTCCTTCCTTCCCTTCCCTCCTCCCTTACTTCCCCCCTTCCCTTCCTCCTGTCCCTCCTTTTCCTTCTTCCTTCCTCCTCCATCCTTCCTCCCCACCTCTTCGCCTCGATCCCCCGTCCACGCTCCTTTGTTAAGCAACACACGGTCAACTAAACATTATGACAGCTTTGTGAAACGGGACAAAGAGCTCTCTTATGAAAGTTCGCGCTCATACATATTCACACACACACGCACAACATGCATACATACATATTACATATGTACACACATACACATACGTACATACATACATGGTACAATACATACATAGGTACATACATACGTACATAGGTACATACATACATAGGTACATACATACATATACATACATACATACCGTACGTACATGCACACACACACACACACACACACCACACACACACACACACACACACACACACACACACACACACACACACACCACACACACACACACACACACAGAGTAATGATAGTTCTAAATATATTGATAATTTGAACAACAATAATCAACAAAAATGATAATAATAACAATACTAAAAGCAATTAACACCAAGTCACCATAATCTTATCCTTAATAATAATAGTAGTAGTGATAATGATCGTGATGATAAGATAAGTCACTGGTTATCGACCTAAACGACCCAAAAAGAACGTAGTTATTAACAAACGAAAAAAATAGAATAAAATAGAAATGAAATATGAATAGCATATCTCTGTATTGTCCGAACAGTCGCTTAGTTACCGTTAGTATAAAACAGGTGGTCGCCAGCACCCTCCCCCCCCCCCCCCTCTCCTTCCCTCTCCCTCCCTCTCTCCCTCTTGCCTCTGCTTCCCTCTCACCCTCCCTCCTCTTCTTCCCTCCACCCCTCCTCTCTCTTCCTTCCCTTCACCCTCCCTCCCTGCTTCTTCCCTCTCTCTGCACTCTCACCCTCCCTCCCTCTTCCTCCCTCTCTTCTTCCCTCTCACCCTCCCTCTCTCCCCCCCTACCCTCCCTTTCTTCCTTTCCCTCCACTCTCACTCTCCCTCCCTCTCTTCCCTCTCCCTCTCACTCTCCCTCCCTCTCTTCCTCTCCCTCTCTCTTTCCCTCTTACTCTCCTCCCTCACCTTCCGTCTCACTCTCCTTCCTCTCCTTTCCTCTCTCCCTCTCCTCCCCCGATCTCTTTTTTTCTCTTTTTTCTTTGAGCTCTCGTTCTCTTTCTAATTTTTTGCACTTTCTCTATTTTTTTATTCTTATTTCCCTAATTTTATGTCATTTTATTTCTCTTCTTCTTCAACCTTCATCTA